GGAGCTGTCGGCGATTCACAATCACGCTGTGTGCAATGATTTCTGATTGAATAACACATCGGCGATGACCTACAGCCAATGAGAGACCAAGATACAGGGCAGCGGGAAGTTCGGGGAGGAGTTATATGAAACATAGTTTGCAGACCAGTGTTGCCAAATCCACGATTGCCGCCGGTTGTTTTTTATGTCAGCAGGTTGAAGCGACCCCAATAACGTGATATTTAGGCCCTGGAATGTGAATTGTACCAGGAGAACCCCGCCAAAAAAAAATTTATTTTACCCCCGAATGCGATTTTATTGGGGGACCCCCTCGAAAGCAATTGGGCTATTTTCAGGCTAGATTTTAGTAGTAATTGGGCGGGTTTTGTAGCGAAAACCAGGCAACCCTGCACCAGACAGAGCTGTCGGCGATTCTTCCTATTGTGAAGTCATGCAGTGTGAAACCCCCTGTCGCCGATCCATCGTGCAGTGTGAACACAGCAGCAACTGAACGCTACCCCAGATAGTCACACAGTGTGAAAACAACAGTGATGCAACGTCTTTGAAAATCGTGCAGTGTGAACTCGGCATAACAGACCACTCAGATCATTAGGATCGAGTCAGTTAGAAATACCAAGGGTTCACAAAAAACAAGGGGAATGTGCTTTTAGTTATTATGCCGCCCGCAGCTGGAATCAGCTTCCAGAAGAGATCAGATGTGCTAAAACATTAGCCATATTTAAACCCAGACTCAAAACTCATCTGTTTAGCTGTGCATTTATTGAATGAGCACTGTGCTACGTCCGAACTGATTGCACTATATTTTATGTATAATCTTTTTTCTATTCTTAACTGTTTTAATTCATTTTAAATCAATTTTAGATTATTTTAAAAGTTTTTAGTTTCCTAAAACATGCTAACAGAATAACATGCTAAGCTAACATACTGTAGCATAGGATAACAAACAAGGACGCTGTCGTCTTCATAAAAGCATCTATCGTAAACTGTAGCGAATATCAAAAATCTAAAATGTTCATTTCTGTGCCGATCAGACCAAACATCGTCTGAGCCTATTTCGGACAAAATTGTACAAGATTCATGAAAAAAGTGTTTTATTTCCTTCATAATGGCGGACGAACAAAATGATACAAAAATGATACAAAAATACAACGTGAGATATTGTTGGAATTGGCGTAAACCAAGGATTTGAATGACAATAAATACATTTCAGACCACATTTTGAAAAATTATAAGCATTTTTGGAATAAAAAAAACATATCTCTGGAACATTATGTTGCACTCTGTTAAAACTTCTCCGGTGTCTTTGGGACATGATGTCGATGATTCCTACCAAATTATGTGTTTAAATGTCAAAACATTAAAAAGATATAGCAATTTATGCATATTTCAATATGGAGGACAGCAGGTTCATCTGATCTGTATCCATGGATTCGAGATGTTCTGACAAACTGGTCAAAGTTATAAGCAAAAATAGCAATTTTTCAGATCTCATGACCTGTAGATGGCGCTGCCTTCTAATCATGGTGCATATGAAGCGTACCAAGTTTTGTTTCAATAGATCATAGCATTGCCGAGATACAGCCTCTGATCCAAATTTTGGTGGAGATTGTTAAATTTCCATCATCATAACAAAGATAAAAATCTAAATTCTGTTTTCATTTCTGTGTGGGTAGGCCCAGTGATCATCTGATCCAATTTTGGTAAGGATTTGACAAAATCTGAAGGAGGTGTGGAAGATTTTTATTAATCAAAATATGAACTAATCAAGCAGAATCAATGCGAATATAACCATTTATGCACTAAGTCACTCTACTCTTAAAATCAAGTATATGCCTGTGTGTATAGAGGCCTGCGAGAGAATGTGCGGCCATTACAGTCTCTCGTCTTCTTTCAGGGACTCATATTCCAGAAGAAGAAAACTAACCAGGGTTGGGAATCAAAAAGCAATTCCTATTCTTGAATCGGATACACGCTGTAAAATTAACAGCGTTTATAAATTAATAGATTAATCCTCACTAATCTAAGCGCTCCAAGGTTTGGCTACAGAAACCAGAAGCTGAAAAAGCTTAGTGTCATATTTGTGATAAGATTGTGATATGTTGCAAGAGAGATGTCCCCACCAACATGACAAAGCACTGTAATTGAACAGCTCGTTAAAAATCGCGATCACGATTCAAACACCAACATGATTTTATTCCTAAATGACAACAATTCAGCAGTTAAAGCTTTGACGAGTGCAATCTTTAATAGTAGTATAGTGAACCCGCAACAATTAAAAAACTAAAACATTCCAAAGTGTATTGTCCAGGTTAGATAATGGACTAGAATGAGATTTCAGTGATATTGAAATGTCATCATGACGTTTTTAGACATGATCAAAATCAGTGCTGAGGGTGTTGTGATTCATGTGATGACGGGAGTTTAGTTCCCTACACAGACTCCATGATCTTTGACCTGTAGAGGCTGTTCTGGTTACTAGCATTTTCAATCTGAACCATTTGAAAAGGATTTTGTTCCCATTTTATGTGAACTCTTTCTAAGACTTTTACAAGGGGAATTACAGTACAGTACTGAAGAAAATAACTATATATACACCACAACATAAACCAAACCATTTCCAAGTATACTCTGTAGGGAAAAAAGTAAAATGTACAATAATACAACTTAATACATAATCCAAATAAAACACTAGGGCTCGGTTTCACAAACGGGGCTTAGCTTAAAGCCATCCAATTTTTTAGATCTATTAAACACACTTGAAAGACATTCAGACTATTCAGATCCTTAGAACTCAATGATAAGTATAACTGTATGTCATCTGCATAACAGTGAAAATTTATATTTTGTTTTAGGATTACAGCACCTAGTGCAGGGGTAGGCAAGTTCGGTCCTAGAGAGCCACAGTCCTGCAGAGTTCAGCTCCAACCCTGAAAAAAAAACTCATCTGCTTATAGCCTTAGTAATCCTAAAGACATTGATTAGCTTGTTCAGGTGTGTTTGATTAGGGTTGGAGCTGAACTCTGCAGGACTGCGGCTCTCTAGGACCGAACTTGCCTACCCCTGACCTAGTGGAAGCATGTAAATTGAAAACAAAATTGGTCCTAACAGGGAACCCTGCGGAACTCCACATAAAATTTCAGAACTTTGGGATACTTCATCTCCAACTGTCCTGTTTGACAAATAAGACACAAACCAATCCAACGCCATCCCAGAAACCCTGACCCATGTTTTCAACGTATTAATTAAAATAGAATGGTCAACTATATCAAAGGCTGCAGTCAAATCTATTAGAACTAAAACTGAACATTCGCCAGCATCCTCTACCATTAGTCACTCGTAAAAGTGCAGTTTCAGTACTAAATTCTGCTCTAAAATCAGACTGAAATTTTTCAAAAATATTATTCTCATTTACGACCTTCAACATTTGCTTGGCTACTACCTTTTATATTACATTTGAACTAAAAGGCAGTTTATGCCTGGCTCACACTACAGGATTTTTATCCCGATTTTGCCCCGATTTCCCCCCTCCCGAGAATCGGAGCAAAAATCATGTCGAGCACCTCGATCGGTCCCGATGTTCGGCGCGGATTATCTGGTAATGTGAGGCATTCACTGATCGAATCTTGCACCTCCCGATCTGCTCGCACACAAATCGGGGCCGCCCCGATCATATCAAACATGTTTGATATTTAGGATTTAAATCGGGATGATGACGGGTTTGATTACATCAGTCCTTTCACAATAGCCAATACGAAACAAGTCTACGAGGAGACGGAAGTGACGAACAGTTTGAAATGGCGACCGCGAAACCTGTTGTACGTACCCGTTGGACTTCGGAGATGGAGGAGCAACTTGTTGAGATGTGGCAACAACATGACTGCCTATTTAATGTGTCATCAAAGCTGTACCACAACCGTAGCGATAAGGAGAAGAGCTGGGGAGAAATCGCGTCAGTTTTAAACGTACCAGGTGAGTACTGAAAGCTGCTAGCGCTGACAGGCTAGCAAATGTAAACAAACTCTTGAAGCATCAGTGACCATCTGCTACATGTCTGTCAAAAGATAAGGTAGCAATGTATCAGTATCAAACATCCACAACCCCCCCCCCTTCTCAAACACTCACACAAACACAATCCCCTCTCTCTCTCACACACACACACACACAAAGACAATATCCTCAATCTTTCTTTTACACACACACACACACATAAGTTACAGTCCACTCTCAACAAAACATAAACTACGTCTTTATGAGCTCTATAATTGTTTGTACATTTTTAGAAAAAATATTTCAAGGGACATTAAAAGTTTATTATAGTCCAGTGGTTCTCAAACGTTTTATACCAAGTACCACCTCAGAAAATATTTGGCTCTCCAAGTACCACCATAATGACCAACATTAAAATACAGTAGTAGGCCTAACTATTCAGCTACAGCGCTGCACAGTTCAAAAACGAGGCAGTTTTATTCCTAATTAGAATATTTATTGTTTTTAGCCACTTTAACATTGTAAATACACAGTTTGAACATTAACACTGCACTGTGCTTACAAACAGGTAAAAAAAAAAAACTTAATGATTCAATTAAAATGTGTTGTAAGTAAAAGTACAAAAAAACTGTACTGTACTTAAATGTAAAAAGAAAAAAAAGTACTCAAAGATTTAATTAAAATATATTGTGTTTTAACATCAACTTATATTGAATTTAGTGATTCCTCTGCGTACCACTAGAGGGAGCCTGAGTACCACTAGTGGTACTCCTACCACACTTTGAGAACCACTGTATATAGCCCATTTATATTTTAATAATATTAATTCAACTGAATGTAGAGAGGAGACTCTGAGTGTCAATGTATGTGTATTATATATTTTCAGTGGAAGACGTTAAGATGAGAGCAACAACCTTAAGGACTCAGTTCACAAAACTTCTTAAACCCAAACCTAGCGGCAGTGGAGAGAAAGGTTTAACACAGAAACAGAGATGGCTTTTAAGCAGCTTTGAGTTTCTTAAGAAACATGTTGCCCAACGCCCCTCTGAGACCAGTGTAAGCATGCAATATTATGGACAGGCATGACTTGTGATATTGTGTCTTTTATAAGTACTGTAGTAGGCTTCATCATGTATTCACCTTTTTGCTACACTCATGATGTTTTGCATGAATTATGGGAGTACCTTGTGTTAAACTGTAAAACTGTAAATAATCAGCGATGTGTTTTAAAAATGGGGTACAATAAGGTAGCATTATTCTCCTCACAGTTCAACCAGCAAATATTAAAAAGAAAAATATTTAGATTTAACAAATTACTTTCAGCAGACCTAAAATTGCTGAAATTTGGGGCAGTTGTGGCCTAATGGTTAGAGTCGGACTTAACCCAGAGGATTCAAATCTCGGTACCAGCAGGGATCGTAGGTACCAGTGCCACTTCAATACTCTCTTCACCTTCAATACCACGACTTAGGTGAGACCCTTGAGCGAGGCACTGAACCCCCAGCTGCTCCCTGGGTGCTGCAGCGTGTGCACTCGGATGGGTGAAATGCAGAGCAAATATTCAGAGTCTTTCCACAGCAATAATAAGAAAATAATCTGGAGGAAGATAACACAGTGAACCCTTTTGAATGGAAGTTTCCCAAACCTGAAGTGCAACCCATAATTTAAAATGCAATAGGCACATTTGGAAAAAGGTGGATAATTATTGGGACAATACAGTGAAATTGTTATACAATTGTTTTGGCAGTACTTTGCTGATAGATGGATGGATAAATGTTTGTAAACCTCACTGACATAAAATTATTTTTTTAGCTTGATCAATCTGTGAAAGACTTACTGAGTGAAGGACAGGACATTGATAACTCCACCAGTGATGAAGACATTGCAGATACATCTGAGGCACTAGGTAAAATCATAAATGTAGATGTACAAATCTAGAGACAATGACTTTTCATGCATTTTAAATAGTCTAGTTCTTCTATCATTCGGATTTGTGTTTATACATATCACTCACTGGGGTGTTGGGCAACATGCTTCTTGAAGAGCTCCAATTTTCTCAACAGCCAAATCTGTTTCAGTTCTCATATTATTACATACTTACCATGTTTGATCATAATAATTCTAGTCTGTTAGTACTGCACAGGATGGGTTTTTTTAAAAAAAAACTTCTTCTTTTTTACAAGTCAAATAAATGATTTTCAGATTAGGTAGCAATTCATCAATATAAAACATCCACAAACAACTCACACATCACACGTGAACATGGCCATTGTCAGAACAATGGAAGACTACTTGCAAAGCAGGTCAGGAGCAATCGATGTGATTCACTTTTTTTTTTTTGAAAACCTTCAAAAGTTTACATAATTGATTCTTAATGCTGTGTGTCATTACTTGCATTGTGGTGCTTTCTTGAGTATCAGGGAATGTGCAAGACCTGAAGGATTTTTCTGAAGGACATTGAGCAGTTTAACAAACAAGGCAGTTATATATATTTATATATATATATATATATAAAAAAAAACAGTTGTAGATCATGCAAGTGACGACATAGTATTAAAAATCAAGCACAAGGATAAAAATTAATTATAATTAAAAGTTTGCAAATACTTTGGCTGAAACATACTTTGATTGAAGTTATTCTAATAATGTTATTATAATTTAATCTTTTATCTCAACCATAGGACCACATACCTCTACCCAGCAAGAGGGTCAAGACCACACCTCCCTTTTTCCCACTCCCAGGCCTGCTTTAAAATGCCGAAAGGCTGACACAGACACTGTTGAACAACAAAAACTGAAGCTGTTACAACAGATGTCTGCTTCAGTTCTGGCCTCCCCAGATGCCTGCAGCTCTTTTGGAAACCAGGTTGCTGTGGAGCTCAGGTTAATAAAGAATACAAGTCTACAGACCAGGGTAAAAAGACAAATAATGAATGCTTTGTTTGAGGCCCAGGAGGCAGACCAATCTAGTTCCTCATCATCCTCACACATGCCACCACCCATATATTCACCTCTCACACCTACACAAATGCCCACCTCAACCCCTCTATACACGCAGACACCTCAACACTACCATCAGCACATGCCCCCTGAGGGCCCTGTTCAGCCTCAGAACTTTTTGAGGATGCTAGAATTGGAAGAGTAGTTGCATATAAAAATGCTGTATGTTATACACATGCACACATGTTCACATACACATTATTTATTTATAATTTGTTAATTGGTTTCTTTACTCTTGTAATGTATATATATGGCAATGTCAGTTTAAGTTGCTGTTAAAACTGTTGTATGTGTTGTTCAAAATGAAAGTTTTGTATGAATAAATGTTTTAAAATATTCAGTTGGCACTTTAATCCTTTATTTTGGAAATACTTGAATGAACAACTGAAATGTGATCATGAATGCTGTCTTTATTAAAAGAACTTGTTATAATGTAAAATCTCATCAAAATACAGTACAGCAGAATCAAATAGTACAATATTTTAAATCACAACCAACAAATCAATCAACAAAGAAAAATAAATATAATGTAATATGATATGATAACTATGTACATTACATACATCACTAGACTACAACTAGCAAACACTTCTTTTTGTCCATTGTCTAAATGTATTTTTCTTGCCATGGCACCTGGCCAGCAGGTGACACAACGTAGTCTTTTAGGAGGTCACGTTGCTGCTTAGCAGCAAGAGTAGGGTTCCGTGACCTTTCAGCTGGCACACATTGCATGGCCCCCAGACCATCTCTCCTCCATGCTCCCTCGTTGATTCTGTGGTCTGCATCCTCCCAGTCTGCCAGTGCTGGTGTCATGTAGGCCTCTGAACGGTGATCACAGAGGAAGTTGTGGAGGCATGCTGACGCTAGGGTGATCTTGGTGACACTGTCTGGGTGAAGCAGGATTGTGGAGCGGAACACTCTAAACCTATTGGCGAGAATGCCAAATGCATTTTCTACAACTCTGCGTGCCCGTGAGAGCCGGTAGTTGTAGACCCTCTGGTTGTGGTCCAGCTGCCTGAAGGGGTAAGGTTTCATAAGGTCTGTTCTCAGAGGATACGCCTCATCCCCCACAAACATATAGGGTAGCACAATATCAGAACCGGGAAGCTTTTCTGGAGGAGGAACATTGAGGAGACCCTGGTCCAGTGCTTTCTTCAGATCAGAATGGGCAAAAAGCCCAGCATCTGAGACCCTGCCCTGAGTGCCAACACTAATGTAAATTAATTTATAATTGGCATCTACAGCTGCCATCATGAGGACTGAAAATCTGCCTTTATAATTGTGCCACATACTCCCACTGTGGGCTGGGGGCTGGATATAGATATGTTCGCCATCAAGGGCACCCAGACAATGTGGAAACTGCCATTTCTCCACAAAGTTCTTGGCAATTGCTTGCCATTCCTCCTCTGATTTTGGTGTCTGCAAATATAAAAGCAACTATTAAATCTCAACCTGTACTGAATTTCTAAATGAATTCAAGTCACCCCCCCCCCACACACACACACACATTTTTATAACCCTACTTATCCCACCCATTTCATCATGAACTAAATTGTACAATCAATTCTCCCCAGTCAAGCATTATAAATGTAGTTTGTCATTATGAACTATGCTGCTTATCTTCATATTTGTACATACTGTATGTCAGAATTTTTGCTGTTGTGACACAAATGATAAAATATTAAGAATTTCTAACCTTTAGATAATCATCTTTCAAGACATGATGTAGGGCTTCACATGTGTGCTTCACTATATCAGATACAGTAGTAGCCCCAATTCTGTACTGAAAACTCAGTGATTTGTAGGTTTCGCCTTCAACAGAAGAAAGTTGACATTACTCTAAAATTAAAACATAAGAAACAACCCTGTACATTTGTTATATATACAAACCTGTTGCCAAGAATCTGAGCGTCAAGGAGAGCCTCTCCCTGGCCGTAATTGCCCGCCTCATCTTGGTGTCCTGTCGGGTGATCAGTGGCTCTACTCTCCCTAGCAGGGTTGCAAACTCATCTGAGGTCATCCGCAGCAGCTCCCTGAAGCCTGACCTGTCCTCCAACTAACGTTATACATGAAAGCAAAAATCACATTTGAAATAAGCTTACCCTTGGGTTAGCCATATTTATTTATAAACATACCCTTTACATAGCCATTTTGAGTCTCTCTAGTAATAATAACAATACTAATAATCATAAGTATAATGCAGATATAGATAAGACAGATAGATAGATGGTGTGAAAGAGAGATATGATTGTGTGTGTGTTTGTGTGTGTGAGAGAGAGAGCGAGAGAGAGCGAGAGAGAGAGAGAGAGAGAGAAAGCTGTAAACAGGTTTTAACGTTACATTCAGTGAATATTTACTGGTCACCACTTTTACAGCTACACGGTATACACACTTCTAATCAGTCCTGTTGCTTAACAGTCACATATCCTGTCTGTATATTAGAATATGTAGACACTTGTCTTTATAACAGACATTTCATTCTCATTTTACAGCTCATATCTACACTGCAACAGGTGACAATGTCGCTTTTGAACTAGCCAGCCATTAACGCTATAACGGTAAAAATTCTAGCACACCACCATTAACAGATAGTAATACAGGTAACGTTAATTCTTACCTCCAATTCTCGCTGAAGAACTAGCAATCCATGTTGACCACGTCTCCCCAACCATTTTCTCATCCACAATCGTTTGCTCTTCCGCTTTAGTTTTTTCTCGCTACAAACAATCAGTATTGATACAGCAAGTTGTCGCGCTACAGTATCCATTTTGTTTACATCCGCTTTTCCGCGTCTTCTCTAGATCACGTGTGGCGCTCCCTCTGGCATAATAATCTTAATAATATCTTGTAGTGTGTGAAGCGCCGCGATTTAAAAATCTTGTAGTGTGTGCATGTTTAAGATTTGAGGGACGATAATCTGCGAAGATTCTCCTTATGTGTGTGCTGCAGCCAGATTTCATAATCGGTTAGGATTTTTAAAATCCTGTAGTGTGAGCCAGGCATTAGAGACTTGTTCTGGAAAAGCTATATCGACGTATCCCTACTATTATATATACAGTATATTATAAAATGTGAGAGCAAGAGATAACAGATGGAGAAAGGGATCTAGTTTTATGAATGAAAACAAAATGAAAGCACAAAAAAAACGTAACATGGGGAAACAAAAAAGCAGCAACAAGAAAACTTGCATAATACATTCAACAACTTACAAAGTAACAAGGGAAACACAAGGGCAGTTTAAACACAGGCCTAACAGGCTTAACAAAATAACAAGACACACCTGAAGAGATTAATCAAGAGGGAACAAGTTGTAATGCAAGTAAATGTAGTAATAATAAATCAGTTTCTCTCTTTCAGTTCAAGATCCAGTCCAGATGAGAAGCAGTGCTCAGACTGGTGTCAGTGTTGATGTGAAAGCTGAAACAGGTGCAAGTGTAAATGCTCCTGTATTGACTGGAAACACCATCACAGGACCAGTAACCATTTATGGCTCACATGCTGCTGGAAATGGTTTATGTTCATCACTATGTCAAGACAAACTATTAATACTTTGAGTAAAGACTAGTAATTTTGCAACCTCATAGTGATTATTTAGCACCATTTTAATGCTATGAAATAATATCTCACTTAATATTTATCTGTGACTTCTGTGTATTTCTTGCATTCTGTATGCATCTTGTCTTCTCACAAATCAACACACATGCTCAGAGACAGCAGAAAAACACACAGAAAAACAAGGTAAGTCAACAACAGAAACAACAGTGTTCCCGTTTAGTCAGTCACGCTCAACGTTACATCGATACCTGACGTTATGGGGTTTCACTTGGGATACCAATCACCTCTAAGTAGAACAAGGAAGGGCCAATGAATATTGGTGAGTGAAATTTGCATGCCAAGCCACTCCCTGTACATACTGGTATATAAGATGGCGGTGTGTTTTCACTCATTCTGATTTTGCTTTGGAGCTAAACATTAAACACTTAATGGACTTCTCAGGCTGTGTTTTAAGGCGCTTTTCAGTGGTATCGCCCCAGTTTGTACAGATAAGTAATCTTATCTAATCTTACAGCAATCTCCCCTTAGGCACTCCAGCTAAAATAGCAATTTTCTTAAAAGAGCAAGCATGGTCGGGTAATTGTCTTTAACAAGATGTCTTTCTGTCCATGTGTTTCTGGGTGTGGAAGTTTCCTTGCCTCCCATGACGGACACTATCATTGTCTAATGTATCTGGATTGTAAGCATGCCGAGACCGCTTTCGTGGATGGTTCATGCCTGCATTGCGAGCACTTGTCCATGGAGATACTAAGATCATGGCTCTCATTTGCAATGAGGTTCCCCTCGGATGCTACCCATTCCAGTTCCTCTGTTTAGAAAGAGCAGAGGGCTGCATCGGTTAGCACCAAGGGTGATCTGAGAGTTACAGTGGGAGTCCTCCACATACATCACGCCATTAAGTTCTCGGATGATGGTGCCAGTCCATACAGGATTAAGGCTCCAGAGGAGGGTAAGAAGTCTATTCCAGCATCAAAGACACCCTAAGCAGTGGCAGCTCAGTTGGTGTGTGAGGCAGAGTTGACAGCCATGCTATCGGACTGGGTTAGGGAAACTGAGGTTGAGGTAACTGCGCCTCCATTCCCTGACCGCTTAAGGCTGGATTGATTGGTATCTGGTCTCCAGACATGACTCACAGCCATGCTCTGCCCCAGCGCTTTGCCGGTTCTTCCGGAGGTGCATGGAGAACTCAATAAAGCATAAAAGGTAGCCTACACTGCTCACGCTTGAGTTCTTCCATCCTTACTACCCTTGATGGCGGGGTGGCCAAGTGGTATGTGAACATTCCCCAGGTGGAGTGTGCAGTTGCGGTGCATCTCTGCCCGCAAAATGCCATCACTTAGAGGAATCGTCCACAACTCCCGTCCAAAGCCTGTAAGCTGACCTTAGCTCTCATTGCTAATCACTGTGGGCCAGGCTGCCTCTGCCCTGCATGACATGGTGATCTTGGAGGTACATCAAGCCAAGGCATTGAAAAAACTGCATGAGGGTAGTTTTGACCCTGGGTTGATGCAGGAGCTGCATACGGTT